CTCTTTCATAAAAATAGCCCAGAGCTACAAAGCTGGTCTCAGGTCAAACTGCACCACCGGGCCACAGTTGCAATGTCACCTCATCCTATCAGTTTAGTAGGCAGGCAAGAAATGAAAGCAGTCCTTTAAAAATGGGCACGGCTTTCCACCCTGTCCAGCTACTGCATGGAGCTCCACGCTCTATACCTACACACAGCAAGATCAGTGGACCTCATCAATGTCCCAATGGAACAGTCACCTAAGCCACTAGGTAATAAAAGATGTAAATCAGGTAAAAGGGGACTGGGAAATGCTGAAGCTCCCTGCTGACATTCACACAAGGGCTAGCTGCAGTTACCTTGTAGTGAGAAGCCACGTAGAGGGCCATAAGCCGTTGGAGGAAAACTTCAGAGGCCTTGTGGTAGCAAAAGAGAGTATCTCTATTAACATAGTAGCTGGGTCTGGAGTTAAGAAACCAAAACAAAATAAGCAGCCCAAGACTGGTCATACTACTCTCTGGAGGCAGAACAAATTTCCCTAGATGGGAACAGGAGCTCAGTGTCCTAAGCAGAAACACATAAAAGAAGGAAGAAGAGGGCCGGGCGTGGTGGCTCAAGCTGGTAATCCTAGCACTTTGGGAGGCTAAGGGAGGCAGATCACAAGATCAGGAGTTCAAGACCAGCCTGACCAACATGGTGAAATCCGTCTCTATTAAAAATATAAAAATTAGCCGGGTGTGGTGGCGTACGCCTGTAATTCCAGCTACTCGAGAGGCTGAGGCATGAGAACTGCTTGAACCCGGGAAGCAGGGGTTACAGTGAGCCGATATCACGCCACTGCACTCCAGCCTGGGAGACAGAGTAAGACTCCATCTCTTTAAAAAAAAAAAAAAAAAAAAAGAAAAAAGAAATGCCCGACAGATTTACAAAAGGAAATTGAAAATGTTCAACTTTCCCCTTTCTCTAGAGCAGCATCCTATGAAACAAAGGGCCCAAATCCTTTGAATTCTTACACCGCCCCTCTCCTTTACACAGGGCCAGTGAAACCTAGAGGAGGATACAGTTCACAAGCTTCAGGCAAGGGGCAGCCTGAGACTATCCGAGTGATGTTGAGGCAATCCAAGCACAGCAAGTCATTCAGCCACTTCTCCACTGCGTCCCCAGGGGCGTATCGGATTGACTCCTGGAGGGAAACCTCATGCAGTGTCCGCGCTGCTCCCCACAATCACACACACAAAAGAAGAAACAATGATTAAATATGTATTGTCTAAACAAGCAAGGAAAAATGTTTCACTTTATATTTGTCCCATGGTGGCCAGAGACGTGTGGTAAGAATTTAAACTGGGTGGTTTAAAATTGTTTTTGGTGGATATTCAACTTGCCACGATACCAACCTCAAAGGGATCTCAACGCAACCATGCCCTGAGACAAGGACACACAAGGGCCCCGCCATCAGAAGGCCCTAGTCTGGCTCCCATCTGGTCACTGGCCGAGAAAAGCTACTTCTCCTCTTGGGGACTCAACCTCCTAGCCTGATGGTGGGAAGGTTTGGTGCTGCCCATGATGTCACAGGTGAAGCGAGGATCGGCAAGTCTGAAGGGCCTTGCTGTGAACCGCGGGGCCCGGGTCAGGTTCTGGGGTACCTGATGCCAATCTGGCTGTCGTCGTGGTCTTATTCTCAGCGGTGGTGCTGACCTGGCTCTGGGCGCTCTGTTGACGGAGCTGCTGAATTAGTTTGAGGGACAGTGACCGGCCAGTGCCCTCATAGCTAGAAGCAAAGGAAAAAGGAATCAGGCGCGAGGTACCAAATCCACTGTCTAGGAGGGGACAGAGAGCTGCTTTCCTCCACCTGCTGAAACATCAGATCCCTGCTTCCCCCAGGACAGCCCTCCTCATCTCTGAACTTCCAGCACAGCAGGCACCTGTCCAGAGGCGGCAGGGTGGCACGGTGGCTCAGCGAGGGGCCACCCAGGCCTGGTCTCACATCCTGGCTCATCTACTTAGTATCTTTGGGCAAGGAGTTCAATCTCTTTTAGCCTCATCTTCAAGGGGGGAATTATTCTATACACTTCACAGGACTGTGATGTGAACTTAAAAAATAAGGACTGGAAAAAGGGTGTAAGTAAAGCCTTTAGCATAAAGGCTTTAGGCAGTTTTAGTAAAGCTGAAACATAGTTAAATGGTCAACTAACGGAGCTGCTTTTGGAAGTACGGTACATAAGGAAATGAACTGAGAACATTTCCAGTTTGGGTAATAAAACAAATTCACCACCTCAGAAATTCTTTTCATTACTATGCCCACTTAAAAGGTGACATAAAACAGCTAAAAAATGTTGGGAAAAAATTAAATCACCTATAATCTGATAACTCAATCAGCTTTCATTGCTGAGTTTCTTCCCCTTGTCTTTAGTCACAAGCATATGTGACCACAGGGTACACAGAGCACTTTTTTTCATTATCTCATTTCATAGTACTCATTATTATATTCAAAGACTGTAAAATACCTCCTCTTACTCAAATTATAAAAGCTAGAATGAGTGTTTTATTCCCACTCTCCACCCCACATAACAAAGCTCTCCCAAAGGTATTCCATTTACTTATTTAAGAAAATAGAGCCGGGCGCAGTGGCTCACGCCTGTAATCCCAGCACTTTGGGAGGCCGAGACGGGCGGATCACGAGGTCAGGAGATGGAGATCATCCTGGCTAACACGGTGAAACCCTGTCTCTACTAAAAATACATTAAAAAAAATTAGCCGGGCGCGGTGGCGGGCGCCTGTAGTCCCAGCTACACGGGAGGCTGAGGCAGGAGAATGGTGTGAAACCAGCTACACGGGAGGCTGAGGCAGGAGAATGGTGTGAACCCGGGAAGCGGAGCTTGCAGTGAGTGGAGATCGCACCACTGCACTCCAGCCTGGGCGACAGAACAAAAAAAAAAGAAAATAGAGTAAGCACAAGCAACAAAACTTAAAAACTTTTGTCGTCAAAGGACATTATAATAAAGACAGTGGCCAGGTGCAGTGGCTCATGCCTATAATTCCAGCACTTTGGGAGGCGGGTGTATCACCTGAGATCAGGAGTTTGAGACCAGCCTGACCAACATAGTGAAATCCTGTCTCTACTAAAAATACAAAAGTTAGCCGGGCATGGTGGTACACACCTGTAATCCCAGCTACTCAAGAGGCTGAGGCAAGAGAATCGCTTGAATCTGGGAGGTGAAGGTTGCAGTGAGCCAAGATTATGCTACTGCGCTCCAGACTGGGCAACAGAGTGAGAGTCTGTCTCATAAAAAAAAAAAAAGAAAAAGAAAAAGAAAAAAAGAAAGAAAGTGAAAAAACCCATAGAATGGGAGAAAATTTTTGTAAATCACATCTGATAAGGGACCTGCTATCAAGAAGATATAAAGAACCCTTACAAATCATTAATAAAAAAGACAACCCAGTGAGAGAGATGAACAGAGGATATGAATAGACATTTCTCCAAAGAAGATACATGAGTGGCCAACACGCACATGAAAAGATGCTAACATCATTAGTCACCAGGAAATGCAAATGAAAATTATAATGAGAGGTCACTTCACACCTATTAGAATGACTATAATCACAATGAAACATAAAAAGTGTGTGAGAAGGCCGGGCGCGGTGGCTCAAGCCTGTAATCCCAGCACTTTGGGAGGCCGAGACGGGCGGATCACGAGGTCAGGAGATCGAGACCATCCTGGCTAACACGGTGAAACCCCGTCTCTACTGAAAATACAAAAAACTAGCCGGGCGAGGTGGTGGGCGCCTGTAGTCCCAGCTACTCGGGAGGCTGAGGCAGGAGAATGGTGTAAACCCGGGAGGCGGAGCTTGCAGTGAGCTGCGATCCGGTCACTGCACTGCAGCCTGGGCAACAGAGCGAGACTCCGTGTCAAAAAAAACAAAAAGTGTGTGAGATGATACAGAAAAGTCAGAACCCTCACACACTGCTGGTGGGAATGTAGAATGTGCAACTGCTTTGGAAGAGTCTGGCAGCTCCTCACATGGTCAAACAGAGAGTTAGCCCAGTAGTTTCACTCCTAGGTGTATCCCTAAGAGAAGTGAAAAACATGTCCATGCAAAAATCTGCACGCTAACGTTCAAAGCAAGATTATTAATAATAGCCAAGAGGGAGAAATAACCCAAATGTCCACCAACAGATAAAAGGAAAAATAAAATGTGGTATATCCATACAATAGAATACTATTCAACCACAAAAAGGAAAGAAATACTGATATACGCTGCAAGTCAGTCATGGAAGACCACATATTTTATAATTCCATTTATATGAAATGTCCAAAATAGGCAAATCTATGGCTAAACAAAATAGATTAGTGACTCCCTGGGGTTGGGGGCTGTGGAGGAACTGAAAGAGGATGCACAGGCTTTCTTTATGGGGTGATAAAAATGTTCTAAAATTGATTGTGAGCATGGTTGTACAACTCTGTGAACATACTAAAAACCATTAAATTACATATTTTAAATGGATAGATAGTACAGTATGTGAGTTATATCTCAATAAAGCTGTTCGAAAAATAAAAACCCATTTTATTTCAGTATTTTCGGTGTAAGCAAAACAGTCACAATAAATCTGCATACAGAATAATCTCTTTAAGATGTGATTTCCATACAGAAATCTTCCCAATATTGAAGATAGATATTTAACGACCTCAAAAGATTTCACAATACATTGTTATATTTAAAAAGCAAATTAAAAATGTTTTTGTTCAAATGAAAAAAGTAAATGCAGAGAAAATGTACACCAAAATTCTAACAAAATCTATCTCCAGATGGTTGAATTACAGGTGATTTTGCTTTCTTTTTTTTTTTTTTTGAGACAGAGTCTCGCTCTGTCGCCCAGGCTGGAGTGCGGTGAGGCAATCTCGGCCTCACTGCAGCCTCCGCCACCTGGGTTTAAGCAATTCTTCTGCCTCAGCCTCCTGAGTAGCTGGGATTACAGGCACGCGCCACCACACCCAGCTATTTTTTTGTATTTTTAGTAGAGACGGGGTTTTACCATGTTGGTCAGGCTGGTCTCGAACTCCTGACCTCGTGATCCGCCTGCCTCGGCCTCCCAATGTGCTGGGATTACAGGCGTGAGCCACCGCACCTGGCTACAGGTGATTTTTCTTTTGCTTACCCGTTGTAATTTTTCAATAGCAAACACTAAATATTTCAAATTTAAAAATTAAATATTTCAAATTTAAAAAACCACTCATGTCATTATGAGCTTGCTTTCTTACGATAACTATAGTACTTTAATACTATATTTTCTAAGATATAAGGTATTGGTATCGCCATCCATGTATTTTTCAACATTTTCTCACACAGACAGAAGCAGACACTCAGCACATAAGACTAAAATTCTTTAGTCTTATGCTGCCCATTTCATGTCGGGCCAGAGACATGTAACAGCTCATTAAGAGACCAGTTTCCATTTGCAGAAGGCCAGTAGAGAACAAAGCAGCCCCAAACACTCAGAGCCTCTGAGAATCAGACTTAGCTGTCCAGGCCCAGGCCACATTCGCTACATGCCCCTGAATCTGCAAGAGCCTGCCACGGGAGTAAGGACTCCTGCTCACGGTGCCTTACCCGTTGATGGTGGATGCCATGAAAACAAGGTAGGGGCCAAGGAGGCTCTTCACCAAGGGGAGGGGGATGGCGGCGGCTTCATCAATCACAACTAGTTCAGCCTGGCCCAGTTTCACAGCATCTGCAGGATGTATATACTGTGGGGAAGGAAAATTTAGATTATTAGCATAGCGAACTCATGTCACAGCTGCGATTACTGGTGACTCATCATAAAGGCTGTTCTCTTTCCTCTTTCTGCCTGTTTCCTTCTCTCCTCTCATTCCTCCTTTCTACTTTTTCCTGGCAGGGCAAAAATGGGATGGGGTTGGAGTCAGACACCTGGGTTCAGAGAGTTCAGCCCCTGATCATGTGACCTTGGACAAGTCACTTAATCCCACAGTGCCTCAGACTCCTCCTCCTGTAAAGTGAAGGAAATACCTATCTTATGGCTGCTTGAGGGAAAAATAAAGCAGGTATGTAAAAATGCCCTGCCCAGTGCCTGACTCACAGTGCTGATAGATAGATGGTGGCTCCCTTTCCTTTCTCTCCTTTGTCTCCTCGTGTTTTCCCCCAGCCTCAGATAAGGGAAGCCGATGAGCTCAAGGCACAGCTCGACCCCAGTGGTGGCTAAAGAGGAAGATGTCGAATTTCTCATGCCGGCCACTGTGCTCCCTGCTCTGATGGCATGATTATAAAGGCCAAGTCTCCCTGCTGACAGACATTTCTAGAACTTGTTATTTTCTTAATACATGCACACTTACTTATCTTTATGCATACAAACAACCTCTTCAGTTTCTTCAGGGCTTCCTGCTAAGTTTAAAGTGGTTTGAAAAGCAATGAAGAGGTATCTTATAGGAAACCCGAATAACCAATTAACATAAACAAAGATATTCAACCTCACCAATAATCAGTGAAATGCTAAAGACAGCAGGGAGACATTTCCCAAAACTTAAATAGCTGTAAAACGTCCAGAGTTGGTGAGCTCTTAGAGAAATTAAAGCTCAAATGAATGCTGGCATGGGGGTAAATTGGTATAAACACTATGAAAGAGAATTTGGCAAATTTTAAGAAAGCTGGAAAACTACACAATCCTAAAACCCAACAATTCCACTTTGAGAAACATACATGTAAATATAATTTACTTATATAATACCTAAAGATGAATCAACCAGATCCACAAACTTTAATCTGCATAGATCCTGAAAACAACTGTTAGAAAAGGAAAGATGAAGGAGAACAAGTATAGTATGTTACCACCTATGGACAGATAGTTATGTAGTAAACACAGAAACACATTAACTGAAAGGACACATACCAGTATCAGAAATGAGTCACCACTGGGGAGGGACAGAAGGGAATAGGTTGGAAAGGGGTTGAGGAACTTCAACTGTATTTGTGATGTTTTAGTTCTTTAAAACAAAAACCTAAGTGACATTTAAAATATGAAACAAACACAGCAAACATCAAAATGTCAACAATACTTAAACCTGAGTGTTGGGCACCTGAATGTTATATTGGTCTCTGCACTCTCCTATACATTTGAACTATTTCATTACAAATAAGATGTTCTAACTGCTTTGCTACAAGTTGATGAGCCAGGGAGGCGGCAACCTCACCCATTTCTTTTTTTTATTTTTTGAGACAAAGTCTCACTCTATCGCCCAGGCTGAAGTGCAGTGGAATGATCTCGGCTCATTGCAACCTCTGCCTCCAGGATTCAACCAATTCTCGGGTTCAACCAATTCTCCTGTCTTGGCCTTCCGAGTAGCTGGGATTGCAGGCGCATGCCACCATGCCTGGCTAATTTTTTTAAATTTTAGTAGAGATGGGATTTTACCACGTTGGCCGGGATGGTCTCCAACTTCTGACCTCAAGTGATTCGCCCACCTCAGCCTCCCAAAGCACTGGGATTACAGCCATGAGCCACCATGCCCGGCCAACCCCACTCATTGCTAGCAGCAGAATGTACATCCTCAACAGGGCCCCAGATCTTAGATTTTTCAAGGGAAAAACTAAACAAGCATCTCATAAAAGCAGCAGAAAGCAGCCCCCCAAGGGAGGTGAAGCCAACTTTTATCTAATATTCTTCTTTTTCTCAATGTTGAGACCAAAGAGAGGCCTGAAAGGAACACAAATGGAATCTCATAAAGTAAGGTCACCTCCTCTGTGCTCACACTGGAGACAAAAGAACTCTGGTAATATGAGAGAGTATTTGATTACAAATTCAAGAAGGAGCAAGGCCCGAGGCAGGGCATTTCACGGAAATGTTTTCCTTCTTCGGTTTGTGTATTTTTCTTGAGTTTTAACAGGTCTCTGTGTTCTCATTGCCTGCAGCCTGACCCTCACCAACAGCAGCCTGTCCTCCTCCCAGCTGGGAGAATCAAGCAAAAGTGAGAAGAAATATACAGAATGAAGAGATGCTAGAAAGAGACTAGTAAGAAAAAATTAAGGTAAAGGGCATAAACACTTAATATTGTTTATAATCTGGCCTCTGATACAAAGGTATAACTTATTTGACATGCATATACATATGCTTTGACAGGCATAAAATGCTAGGGTACAAACTGCCAAATTCACCTGGCTCACTTCCCAACCCAATTCCAAAAACAATCAATGAACTTCCTCCAGTAAGAGCCCATTAGTCTCAGTTCATCTGTAAGCCTGTCACCTCATGCCTCTCCCAGAGATTTAGCAAAACTGCAGCCTTTGGACAAGTGCAGACCATTCAGGCTTACAGAGTGCTAGAGATTTTTAGAACTTTCGGGAAAACACTGTTTAAAAAAGAAAATAGGCCACTGGCTAAACCACAAAGATTCAGAGCACATTTTGCAAAGTTCTTTTTTTCATTTAAGCTGTAAGGTTATTGTTCTAGTTACAGATGCAACATTTCAAAAACTGCAATAACTAAGCAAAGTTAGAACTGATGTCAGAAGAAAGATTCTCTTTTAATTAATCAGTATACTTTCCACCCCACTTATTCCATATTCAAAGGACAAAAACACAACTTTTCAATCTAACTACATATATTTGTTAGTTTGCTGAATGTTTTTCTTCAGAAGAGGCTGAAAATCTGGAACAGGTTTAGCAAACACCACCACCATTGTCTAAAAGAGATGCAATTACACAAGACATACATGTCTATAACAGGAAACATCTTAGAGCCAGTAAAATACAGCAAGACACTGGCCCTGCACATCAGTGTCTGAGAACAAGCCTCACCTGAATAGTCTGCCTGTGTTCTCGAAATACATTCACTCTGATCACTGCTTTGTTAAATTCAGGATTTAGAGACTGGATAATCTCATAATCCAGATGTTCCTGGTGGGGAGTCAAACCAATGACAAACTTTAGAAACAAGTTTTAGAAACTAAATATTATGAAAGTAAGCAAGCATTCTAAAGACCTCACTTGGATTTAAACCCAGCACTGTATCAAAATAAAAATCCTTTTTTTCTTTTTTTTTTTTTTTGAGATGGAGTTTCGAGCCCAGGCTGGAGTACAACGGCTTGATCTCAGCTCACTGCAACCTCTGCCCACCCCGGGTTCAAGCGATTCTCCTGCCTCAGCCTCCCGAGTAGCTGGGATTACAGGCATGTGCCACCACGCCCAGCTAATTTTGTATTTTTAGTAGAGATGGGGTTTCTCTATGTTGGTCAGGCTGGTCTCAAACTCCTGACCTCAGGTGATCCACCCACCTCGGCCTCCCAAAGTACTGGGATTACAGGCGTGAGCCACCACGCCTGGTCCAAAATAAAAATTCTTAATCCAAATTTCCTACCTGATATTGCAGAGCATCAAATCCTTTAAATACAAATTCAAACAGAGTATGGAGGTTATCAGGGCTTGGGGAGGTAACAAAGATATTGGAGTACCTACAGAACAAAATAAAAGAAGGATTTTTAAGAAATTAGGAACATTTTAAAGAAACAATTTAAAAAAGAAAATATTTTTGTTTGCTCCTGTCCCAAAGTTGATAACCAGAGGTAACAGCAAGGGAAAAAGTCAGGACACCTTTTAGGAAGGAAAGCAAAGCAACTCCAGACATTTAGCTACCAACATCTGTGAAAGCAAATTGCTTAGAAGCACTGTGGAGACAACGCCCTCAGTGTGCAGAACAGACAGACTGCTCCCCAATCCAGGGCACTGCTACAGTAAGTAGTTTCACGTCCATCACTAGCTGTGCTGAGACTTTCAAATGGTGAAGCTGGAGAGCTCAATCGGTGCTCAGGCCAAGGCCAAAGCTAACCTCCAAGTTAGCTTTGGCCTTGCTGAGTATAAAGGATGCTAACAGCAGATACTAATGGCTAAGAGGCTGACTGTTACAGCTAGAGCAGCACGAAGAACGAAGGACAAGGAGTCAGGAGCTAAGCTCAAGCCCCAGCTCTACCAGCACTGACTTGCTGGAGGATCTTGGGTAAATCACTGGAACTCCCCAAGCCTGGGTTGATTCATCTATAAAATGCCCACAGAGCTCTAAAGAGCACCAAGGAAGATAATGCACAAAAGCAAACACAGTAAGTTCTAAGTGCATTATTATGGCTGAAAAGTTGGAAGAACATACTCTACTGGCAGTTGCATGTATCTTCCAAACCCAACAGAAAAGAACAGAAAGTAACATCACACCTAAAACCAGCTCCTCAGAAGCCAAAGAAAGCTTCTCTTAATCAAAATCATTAAAATGTCAAACTTGTACTTTTCTCAGTCAGCAAGGCTGGAAACACATATTCTCATGCCCTGAGAGGTGTAAAGTTTCTTACTCCCATTTCTTTGCTTCTGCATGTTTGTTCAACTGTAAATAGTGATTACAAAGGCCCTGGTATATATGTGTCTATGTTTCCACACAAGTAAACATGCACCTTTAGGGTGGGTTGGGGAAACAGTGCTGCTGTTTCCCGGCAGGAAATCAAGACCTAGAGAAATCACACACAGAACCCACTCAGAACTCAGAACTAGGAACGTCAGATACCAGTCCTCTGACCCCAACCCTGCACACTACCCCCACAGCGCCCAGAGTTCCTAAAGATGGGGGATCGAATCCCCTTACCCAAATGCCACTGCCCCAGCAATCGCCAATCCCAGGGCTGCAGATTTTCCCCGTCCTCGGGCAGCTGTGAGTGCAACAGTACTCCTCAGAGTCTTTTCAGAGATGCCCTCAATAAATTTCAAGACAGCTTTGGCCTGTGGAAAGAGAGACACATTAGGCGAACTCCAAGAAAGGTCCAAGTTTCTGCCATTCACCACCATCACTGTGGAGAAGTGAGGTTGATGCCAGGCTAAATAAGAGGGCGGCAGTTCTTGCAGGCCAGAGAGCACTGCTCAGCACCTGGACTTCTCACTCCCTTGGTCATCTTCTGTCAGTCTCAAGGCCTACAGTACCAATTATTAATAGATGCTGATAATTCAAATTTACAGCTTCAGTCTGGAGCACTTCCCTGCACACCAGACTTTTTTTTGTTTTTTCTTAGATGGAGTTGCGTTCTTGTTGCCCAGGCTAGAGTGCAGTGGTGCGATCTCAGCTCACTGCAACCTCTGCCTCACAAGTTCAAGCGATTTTTCTGCCTCAGCCTCCTAACTGGGATTACAGGTGCGTGCCACCAAGCCCGGCTTATTTTTATATTTTTAGTAGAGATGGGGTTTCGCCATGTTGGCCAGGCTGGTCTCGAACTCCTGACCTCAGGTGATCCGCCCGCCTTGTCCTCCCAAAGTGCTGGGATTAACAGGCGTGAGCCATGGCGCCTGGCCCACACCAGACTTTTTTTTTTTTTTTTTTTTGAGACAGAGTCTCGCTCTGTCACCAGGGGCTGGAGTGCAGTGGTGCAACCTCCACCTCCTGGGTTCACTTCAACCTCCACCTCCTGGGTTCAAGCGATTCTCCTGCCTCACCCCTCCCAAGTAGCTAGGATTACAGGCACACACCACCACACCCAGCTAATTTTTGTATTTTTAGTAGAGACAGAGTTTCACCATGTTGACCAGGATGGTCTCCATCTCTTGACCTCGTGATCCACCCACCTCAGTGTTCCAAAGTGATGGGATTACAGATCAGAGCCACCGCACCCAGCTGGCCCACACCAAACTTTTATACACATGCAACTGCTTCCTGCACATTCCCATTTGTACACTACAGATCTCAAACTTGAAACTGAATGCCTAAAGTTGCCCCAAACCTCCTCCACCTAGTCTTTCCCATCTCAGTTAACTGTTCAACTGCTTGGGCCAAAGTCTCCTCAGTTCTTCCCTGATAGCTTGATTCATCAGCAAATCCTGTTACCTCCAAAACATATATAAAATCCTACCATTCCTTACACCGCTATCCTTCTCTACTGCTCTGCTCAAAGCCACCACCCTATCCTTCTTCCATCATGACAGCAGCCTCCTGACTAGTCCTCCTGCTGCCATCCTCACCCCACCAGTCTATATTCAACATGGCAGCCAGAGGATCCTCTTAAAAAGAAGTCTGGGGATGCCTCTGGCAGCTATGCTGAGAGGAGACTATGGACATAAAAGCTTCCACTGCTCCCATCTCTTATAGAGTAAGCGCCAAAGCCCTGCCAGTAGCCTGAAAGATCCTCCAAAAATCTCCTCCTCCATACCCACTCACCCTGCTTCAGCCCCTCAGCCTCCCTGCCAGGCCTGGAACACAGAGGACATCCCTACCCCAGGCCCATGCACGTGCTGCTCCCTCTGCCTGAAGCACTGGCTCCCCAAGAGCCACAGGGCTTGTTTCCTCACCTCACCTCCTTCATGGCTTGGCTCCAAAATCACCTCCTACATGAGGCCACCCCTGCCCCCTGTATGTAGAACCGCAGCACCCTACCCTCAGCTGTCATGCCCTATCCCTCTTTGCAACGTTTTCTTTTTTCCCATTGTACGCAGCATCTTCTGCTTCACCACATGATCTGCTCATGTCTTTCATTTACTGACCGTCTCATCTCACTAGGAGGCAAGCTCCATGAAGCAGGCGCATCCCTCTTGCCTACTGCTGGGCCCCAGTGCCTAGAGGAGAACCTAGAAGCAAAAGCAAGGTGCCAGTGACACAGAAGGACAGGAGCCACTAACTACTTACGGCCCAAACTGTGCTCCTCAGCTGGATCTGTGCTGGGAATATGTCTTTGAGGGTGGAAAGAAGGCCAGATAGTCCTGAGGAAGTTTGCCTAAGCAACGATGCTAAGAAGACACTGAAGAGACACAGGCCAAGGTAGATGGAAGGGGAGAGGCTTCAGGAAGCCAGAGTTTCTCCAGATGAAAACACTCAAAGGGAATCCAGGTCCTACTTAACTTGGCCTTGCCTGAAGGCTATATTTTACCCTTTTGTTTTATATTATGGAAGTTATAAACTCTGAAAAATCCAATGACATAACAGAAAGGTACCAAATCTAGACTAAAACGCATCCTAAAATGAAGAACCAATATAAAAAAGGCCAAAATCCAACTAAAAAGTGGGCAGAGGAAATAAGCAGACTGGTTGACCAAAAAAAAAAAAAAAGAAAAAACCCAACAGCAACAACAACAACAAAACAACAGATGACCAATAATTATATGAAGGAGGTATCCTCCTCTCTCCTAATTAAAGAAGCAACACCAATTAAAACAATGGTCCTATGTTCTCACATCAGATTTGAAAAAACTTACAAGTTTAATAGGAATCACTGTTGCAAGGGTGTAGGGAAAAAGGCATTTCCACACACTGGATAGTTCCATCAACTGGTACAACACCCATTTGAATACACACAACCTCTGATCCAGCAATTTCTCTTCTGGAAACGTATCCTAAACATAGTGCCTACAGACTTACCTGTAAGAATCCCTTAAGAGCACTGTTTCTAATAGTGGAAATGCTGGAATCAATCCAAACGTCTAACAGTGGACCATTTACACTCTGTAGCATGACCCCTTTGCATTTAATTCATTTATGTGCATGAAAAAAGAGGTAGCAGGATACATAATAAACTGTTAACAGCAGCTGTTTCTGCAGAGTGAAACTGCCAAGTGGAAACACCACTTCTTATTTCTTTATGTACTCTTTTTCTATTAACTTTTTGTTTTTTTGTCATAGGCCATTTGTTTTCTTATAACACTACTTAACTAGAATCAGTCTCTCCTGCTTTATCCTATTGCTCACTCTTTCTCTTTTGGATACAGAGGGTACCAGGAAGTGAATCAAAAAAGCCTAGGGCCTGCGGCCAGAGCTGCATAAAGAGCTATGTAGCTGCTGATCATATTTCCAGAATGAAAAGGGAAGTCAGCCTGCTGGGACTCAGCCCTAAGTGGGAGGTGTCACTGCAGCTATCTTCCTTCTCAAGGGCAGCAACCCATGTTGCTCATTTGGCTCAAGCTGACCTAGAACCCTGAACACACCTGACAGTTCAAAGACCTCTGGGCTGTACCCAGTCAGTTCCCATCATGGCCCAGGAACTACCAGGGAAGCCAAGTTTACCAGTGCAGACCACCTCGGTGAGCACAGAAATGCATCCTGGCAGCTCTACCCAGCCTATTTGCACCCAAGACCAGGTACATATCACCCCAGAGGGACCAGCCGTCATCAGGCCTCACACTGGAACCAGGGTAAATACCAGACTAGGGGCCTCAAGTTCTCCTCTCACTTCTGAATAAGCTGTAGGCAAAAACTTTATATTATCAAAACTTAACTGAAATTGAAGAACACAGGTATATTGCCCACTCTTGGAAAAAGTGGTGAGAGCATTCCTCTTTCAATGTAATCTGTCCAGATGTAGTGGATCATGCCTGTAATCTCAGCACCTTAGGAGGTTGAGGCAGGAGGACTGCTTGAGGCCAGGGGTTCGAAGTTACAGTGAGCCGTGATCATGCCACTGCATTCCAGCTTGGGTGACAGAGCGAGACCCTGTCTTTTAAAAAATAACAATTCATCTGCTCCATCTGTCGCCTGACTGGAGGGGGTAATCCCTAGACTTCTTCTGTGAACCCAGACAACATGAAATAGCCCTACTGTTGCTGAGCACACACGAATATGAGCAAGGGGAAAAGCCCCCTTCTCCAAGGAGGGTCTGAGTCTTGGGTCAACGTACCTCGGCTTCTGTTGCGCTCCGTATGCTATATTCTACCTTTGTGTTGGAAGTTCTGAGCACCACACTCACCTGGTCTAGAGTCTTACAGCAGTCCACCAACACACCCACAGGCTGGGTGTCCTGCAAGCTCTCCTTCAACTCTGTCAGCTCCAGAGCGGAAGGACCGAGACTCTCATCCTACCAGAGAGAGAAGGGGAAGGTCTGTCACTGCCACAGGAAGAACAACAGAGAAAACACAGCCTCCCCCAGATTCCTGGACCCCAGCACAGACTCACCGGAGTCTGGGGAGGCAGAGCCTCAATGGTGGCAACGTGGGAGGAGATGGGCAGGATATTGAGCTGGTCATCAATGACGAGACACTTCTTACAAGAGGCCAGAGAGAGAATAAACCTGAGAAACAAAACCGCTGCAATGAAGTGTTGGGGAGGGCATACAATGTCTACACAGAGTATAACTTTTCTTCAAAAAATCATTTGGCCCCAAGTGTCTCTAAGAAAGACAGAAAAAGCTAAAACCCAGTTGGAGAGCAGCGTGAGATGATTCAGTATCTCCTCCACAAGGCACCTGAACATACTTTAAACAGCAAATCAGAAAACCGAGAGCTCATCCCAGGAGATCAATTATAAGCCCTCCTGTTGTGCATGATTGCCGCTATTCCCTACGCCATGGGGCCCTCCCCTCATCCTCCCAGGCTTGCTCTTTAGCACTGAGGTGTTTCAGGCTATCCTTAAATGGGGAATTCCAAACCCAACCCCATATGATCACCAGTCACACAGGGAAAAAACACAAATGAATTCACCTTCTGTCACTAGGAAAAAGAAATAAAAGGAACAAGGGGAAAGGAAAGCACCCCAAAGAAATACAATACAAACGTTCTTGCATGCAGGAAAAAAAATGTGTTTGACTATAAAATTCAAACATCCTCCCACTGCAAGAAAAAGATTTCACAGGCTTCTGTTATATTCAGTAGCACACAGCTGCTCCTCCTGATCCGCTCATTCTACTGAGTTAGTGCATCACAGATGGTTAAAATGAGAAAGGCCCCCAGGGTTCATCAGGGCTCGGATTTCTATACCTCAGCATTACTGACATTTCGGACCTGATAATTCTTTGGTGTGGAACTGTCCTGTGCACCACCGGTTGTTCAGCAACATCCCTGGCCTCTACCCACTGGATGCCCACGGCACCCACCACCACCTCCCAAAGTCATTACAATCAAAACATTTCCAGACATTGCCCAACGTCCCCAGGGGGCCAAATGGCTCCAGATGAGAACCACTGATTTAGATCAAATTTTCCTAAGGCGTTTCACAGGTTGCTAACTGGTGTTCCCACCCCGCCAAAAAAAACTGTGGTAAGATAAATTTGGGAAACAATCAGTTAAACAGGTCCCTGCTGCTGCAAGACTTTTCAGAGATTACAACAGGCTAGGGTAAATCTTCATAAAGGAAAAATAGTATCTCTGTTTCCCAGACATATATGGCCAAACTCTCCTCATACGGTCCCTCTCAAAAAACTAGTGTTCTACGGCCGGGCACAGTGGCTAATGCCTGTAATCCCAGCACTTTGGGAGGCTGAAGTGAGCAGATCACTTGAGGTCAGGAGTTCGACACCAGCCTGGCCAACATAGTAAAACCCCACCTCTACTAAAAATAAAATACAAAAAATGGCCAAGCGCGGTGGCTCATCCCAGCACTTTGGGAGACGGAGGGGGGACAGATCATTTGAGGTCAGGAGATCAGGACCAGCCTGGCCAACATGGTGAAACCTTGTCTCTACTAAAAATACAAAAATTAGTCAGGCATGGTGGTGGGCTCCTGTAATCCCGGCTACTTGGGAGGCTGAGGCACAAGAATCGCTTGAACCCAAGAGGCAGAGGTTGCAGTGAGCCAAGATCGTGCCACTGTACTCCAGCCTGGGCATCAGAGTGAGACTCTGTCTCAAAAAAATAATAACAATAATACAAAAAATTAGCCGATTGTGGTGGCAGGCACCTGTAATCCCAGCTACTCGGGAGGCTGATACAGGAGAATCACTCGACCCAGGAGGCAGAGGTTGCAGTGAGCCAAGATCGCGCCACTACACTCCAGCCTGGGCAACACAGTGAGACTCCGTCTCAAAATAAATAAACAAATAAATCAATATTTAATTTCAGATAACAAATTGTGTATCATATTTGAAATTATGGGTGATCCTTTGCTCAGAAGAAACATTTTGTCGCCTTTTTCTGCCTCTAATTACATCTCACCCCTCCCATACTTTTCTTATCATTTTTACTATGCCAAATATGTCATATCCATAATAAAAAGCTTGGAAAAACTAGTGTTCTATGAAATATCTTCCGGGAAACAGTGATCCAGAAAAATCACTCCTTTAAAAGATGAGTAAGCTAAGAGCCAGAGAGAGTAACTTGGTTTAACTGAACTGTCAGGGCCAGCAGCAAAACAAAATTGAGGTTTCCTGGCTCCAAGTTTCTACTACATTTCACTGCTTCCAGTTAGTCTCACAACTGCTGCTGCTGTCAAGAATTTCATCATTTTTGGAATCGTGTACTACTTTCCCCAATGCAAAAGCAAAGCTTTCAGCTGAGTCCAAGATAAAAATATCCTTCCCAATGTAGCTGCCCCACAATTGGGAGGAACTATAGACCTACCTTTCATTAAATCTTCCCACCACATCCTGATGGGCCTCAGTTCTGTACCTGGAATGCACATCCTAAGAAAGAAAGACAACATCCATTAACAAAGGCATGCAAACACTGCTGAGGACCAGGGTCCAAATACAACGCTCTATCCAAGGAGACACGGGCAATCTCGCTGGAAACAAAATCACTCCCACACACCCTGCTGTGCCAAATGGTATTTGCTAAAACTGGGATCAGACACTGAATGCAATGTTGCTTATTAAAATCTTTCACTTTTCCACATTTTTTTCTAGCATCCTAAGTTATATTCATTTATTTCATAAAACTGGCATGCTGTGTGCCAGATATGCTGTGTATACACTAGTGAACAAAGCATGACCTCTGTTCTCATGGCACTTGGAGTGTAATGGAGGGAGGAAGAAAAATGAGTAGATAAATACACATTTTGGCAAACGCTACATGTGAAATACAGACTGCACGGATAGCAAGTGGGGGTCACTTATGTAGGGCAGTGAGGGAGGGCCTCTCCGAGATAAGCTGAGGCCTGAAGAATAAGTAGGTAGCCATGTAAGAGAGAGAGGAAGAACAAACTGATATGAACACAAAGTCATTCATTCACTCTCAAATATCTAAGGAATGCTTACTAAATGCCAGGCACTCTTCTTCTTTTTTTTTTTTTTTGAGACGGAGTCTCGCTCTGTCGCCCAGGCTGGAGTGCAGTGGCCAGATCTCAGCTCACTGCAAGCTCCGTCTCCCAGGTTCACGCCATTCTCCTGCCTTAGCCTCCCGAGTAGCTGGGACTACAGGCGCCCGCCACCTCGCCTGGCTAGTTTTTTGTATTTTTTAGTAGAAACAGGGTTTCACCGTGTTAGCCAGGATGGTCTTGATCTCCTGACCTTGTGATCCACCCGTCTCGGCCTCCCAAAGTGCTGGGATTACAGGCTTGAGCCACCGTGCCCGGCCTGCCAGGCACTCTTCTAAGATCTGGAAAGGCAACAGCAAAGAAAACTAACTCTGTTCCAATCAAATTTATTTATTTATTTATTTTTATTTTTTTACTTTTTGAGACGGAGTCTTGCCCTGTCACCCAGGCTGGAGTGCAGTGGCATGACCTCAGCTCACTGCAACCTCCACCTCCTGAGTTCAAGCGATTCTCCTGCCTCAGCCTCCCTAGTAGCTGGAATTACAGGTGTGCACCACCATACGTGGTTAATTTTTTTTTGTATTTTTGGTAGAGATGAGGTTTCACCATGTTGGCCAGGCTGGTCTCAAACTCTTGACCTCAGGTGACCCACCCATCCAGGCTCCCAAAGTGCTGGGATTACAGGCGTGAGCCACTGTGCCTAGCCCTCCAATGAAATTTAGAGACTAGTACAGAAGGACAGACTAATAATAATAATAATAATAATAATAACTTTAGGTAACTGTCAAGTGCTTTGAAGAAAAATAAAGCTGGTTAAGGAGTGACAGGCAGAGCTGCCTACTGTAAACAGGGTGTAAGGAAAGACCACACGGATGAGGTGATATCTGAGCAGGAACTTGAATGCAATGAGGAAGTGAGCCAGGCAGAGGTCCAGAGGAAGCACATTCCAGTGGGAACAGCAAGTGTCAAGGCTCTAGCATGAGTGTGTGCTGGGCATGTCTGAGGACGTTCAAGGAGGCCAAAAGGGCTGTAGTGCAAGTGATGATGGGAGAAGTAATGACAGGAAACAGCCCCTAAGATTGAGGAAAGTTCATTTCATCAGACCAAGTCCAATGCGACCACCATTACAGAGCTGCTGGGCATGGGCATGACTTAAAACTTGCCTCTGAACACTGACTTGGCAACACTGATAGAGAGAGGAGACCAGCTCTGCATCAGGTGAGACACATCCCTAACTCCTCACCATGTCCTCAGTGCCTTTTGCTTTGGGAGAACAGAATATCTGCTGGAGTTGAAATTCTTGCCAAACTGGGAGTACAACTAGCAAATGTTCCTTAGTCATCCATTAGGATAAGGGCCAGTGAGGAGTCTGCACATGGTCCTTTTTTTTTGCAATACACAAATTTAGGCACTGGCATTGCTCCTTATACAGTATCATTCCAGAAAATTTAACTACATAAAAGCTGCATCATATCTGAATCTCACTGGTGTAGAATTTGCAAATGCCTGGAAACAAAGGTGAAATTCAGAGATTCCTAGGCACACTCAGGGACCCTGAGATTTAACTGCAGTGACTTTTTCACTAGTTAAAATCAAAGAGCTCTTAGCCCTGAGGCTGTGCTGGCTACTCACTGGAGCTGCCCAACAGGAATTCTTTAAAGAAAGCAGAACACAGCAAAAACAGATGTACTTGAACCCTCACAATTAAGTTAAAAAACAGATGCTTACCATGGTCATTGTGTACAATTGCTTGAGTGAGTTCATGGTCCGTAGGAGGATGACCACTAGCCCACCACCTTCCACTGTTTCTACAGTCCTGGCCAGCAAGTTTGGAGTTAAGGCTTCGAAATCCTGGAAGAAGGGGGCGTGAGAAAGGGTATTCCTGCGAATACCAACCCAAGGGGCTTTTTTTTTTTGAGATGGAGTCTCGCTCTGTCACCCAGGCTGCAATGCAGTGGCACAATCTTGGCTCACCACCCACCTGGGCCTCCCAAAATGCTGGGATTACAGGTGAGCCACTGCACCTGGCCCAACCCAAGGGACTCTTAACCAAAGCAAGGTGATAAGGCAAAAAGACGACTTCGGAGCATAAAGCCAAGACCGTACTTCTTCCCACCTTGACTTCCCAGGATACACACACAGGGCGCACCACAGAAGAGGACCAAGCCCTCGAATATATGAATACCTGGTTTTATATGCCAAAAATGGGTCTCTTATTAGAGACATTGTTAGTTTTATCTGTCAAAAACCTCTCTGATAAAATCTTACTTGGAAACAAATTTTCCAGCCTTCATTGATTCACACTTGAATTTCAGAAACATCTTACATTTTCTGACATTTATAGCCCAAACCTGTTTGACAAAACTATACCACATGGGAGAGCTGCTGCTCCCAGGAGTCATTACTCAGGCAATTGATCAAGGCAGCAAGCAGAAGACCACTCCCTACAAACCAGTGATCAGCCAGGGCATTCCCCTGAGTAAAGGTGAAAATGAGGCAAAACGCCCTCTTGTTTGACCTCCAACGTCGGAAGCAAGCCAGGAGTACAGGAGACAACCCATGTTTTGTGAGGTATGTAACTCGACATAATAAAGGGCACAGTTGTAGGTGTATATGATAAACACATTGAATGTGGGGATTTGTGCTTAATTTTGTCTTGTCTTTTTTGGGAGAATGGGGAAGGGGGTGGCACGGGAGTCAAAGAAACAAAGAATAAAACAAAGACCACCAGAGCTTACATGCACATGCATACACACACACACAAAGTGAAACTCAGTCTATTAACTTGCCAGGCAAGAGAATATACACCAGTGCAGAAATTCACCAAGTAGTCTCTGAGAGATAAAGTGAGGGATTTTTAAGGGCTAGAAACGGGGAGAGGGGCCTTCATGGTGGATATGCTACTCAGGCACTCTGGACAGGACATTTAAGTGCATTGGTCTGTATTCCAGTTGGAAAACAAGTCCTATTGCTCACTGGACAAGAAAGTCTTTGGTGAACGCCAATAAGGACCTGGGGTCCTAGAGGCACGCAAAGTCTCTGGCATTTGCTTTATCAGCTTTAGCTAGTTAGAACCAGTTATAACAATGCATCACTTCAGTTCCGGTGTCTCTAGACAAGTGCTGATTTAAGTAGAAAATTCTCTTTTTATATGGGGTAAGTGACCAAGTGTACTTTGGAAAGTGGCCGGGATTTCCACTAATAATGCTTGGGGATAGGGAATATGGGACTCTCCTCTCCTTACTGTACATTTGTTTCCAGTGGAAAGTCAGGCAGCCCAAGCAACCCTCAAGACTCTGCCTTCAATCAGAGGCTAGAGGAAATCACCCACCTGCAGCACACACATGCCGAAGGTATTGCCCAGGATCTTGTGGGTCTCATTGTAGTAGCAGTAGCGAATGTTTGTGGCTGCTATGAAGAGTTCGAAGGGGTCATCCTGCTTTATGTTCAACGTTCCATTCTTTATTTTCTTCTGCAGCTGTCGCATTCTTTTCTTCCGGTGACTGCAATCACACGCCCCCAGTCCCATGAGAGCCAGTTAACCAGAGAGGCTAAAGAGTTGGAACCAGGGGACAGGCTCAGTGATCACCCACTTAGACTTTCAGAGCGAGTAGGGAACTTGAAAGTGTGAGGCCCACTTCAGGTGGAGGGCAGTGGAGAGGCATTAGAGTGCTTAAGGGCTTCGAGTAAGAGTGATAAGTCTATGTGTGAACACTGCTATTTTGCTCTGTGACCTCGAGCAAATACTTTGCTTTAAAAGTTGGGTAACAGGGTAGCTAACCCTCACATTTGGCCAAAGCCAGAGATTGAAACCAAACCTGAGTGGCCTCATTATCTCAGTCATAAGCCAATGCTTCAACTACACTGTGCTGTTCCCCAGAGATCCTGGGAAAGACAAGGTGATGGCACATTACTTTATTCATCCTTCCTAGAGGACTTCCTTCCCGAGAATGTGGGATTATGTCTTCGAGGGCAGGTCTTACATAAGACAATAATGATATAGGACACAGGGATCAGAATGGAATCTGGACATCTCTAAGGAATCCCTGAATTATTTTTGGTCTTAAAAACCCTGCATATCCAGCTGCTATTTACCTTTCCTTTACCAAAAGAGAGAACTAGAATGTTCTAGAATGGAGGATTACAGCTGATCAAAATTTTACCATAGTTGTCTAACTTAATAGCTAAAACAAAGGCCCTTCCTCCTGTGGGCCTCCACTTCCTCATCTATGAACCAAGGCAGTGGGTGAGTTTATCTCCACTGTTCCTTCTGGCTCAGGCCTTAAGCCCATGACTTACAAGCAGGCATTAGCTTGAACATAATGCTCCGCCACAGCAAGGCAGGGGTAGGGCGGAAGAGCTATAAGAGGTACAAAAATATATTTTTAGAAGTGAAGCCAACTGGTTTAAATTCAAAAGGCAAATCTGCCCAGAAGACTCTGAATTGCCTAATTCCACACCCGTCTCACATTTGCCAAATGAAAAATATTGAAAACCAGAAGCCCTAAAAACTTAAAATTCTGGGATAGGCAGCAGGCCTTATTCTCAATCTGTATTAAAAATGCCTACCTCTCAAAATATGAGACTATATACAACAGAATACCAATTATGGTTCAAAACTACATACCAGTAATAAACATCTAGATGCTGACAATGCCTAGACACTGAAATGCTTTTTATTTTCATCTTTGGGTTTTCTGCACTTTTCACATTTCAACAATAAGGCTCTTATGATTGTCTGGTTTTCTTTAGGCAGAAACCCTTTACTTTAAGACCATAGGACAGGGGCAAGTTTAGCCTCTGGAACTAATTTCAGTTAAAATAATTTTAGAGCCTGTTAATACATCCAACTCAATGTATACTGAGTACCTATGACAAACATGCTAAAACAGTTGAAAATATGAAAATACAAAGATAAATAGGAGAGGGCTCCTAACTGAATGAGCTTATCACCTGAAAGTAAAAAAAAAAAAAAAAAAAAAAAAGATAAAAGAAAAAAAAATGAATGTAAGTCACAGTATGTACATGACTCTACCCCAAAGCAAGAGCATCCAGTGACAAACATTATATGAGAAGGACAAGTGCAGAGGAAGGTAGAGGAACCATCAGGTATGACTGGGGGGCTCGGGAAAAGTTTCATGGAGGAGGCAGGCCCTGAGAAACGGGAGGATTTCAGTAGGTGATATCAGGGAGGTGGAAGTGGCATTCCAAGCAGAGGAGACAGCATGAGTAAAGAAAAGCAGGGAGGTTACTCACAGCATAAAGCAGCCAGAGCTGGAGACAGGCTTTCAGAGTCAGATCGGAGATGAGCACATTTGGAAATTAGAAGAGGCTCAAAGACAGAATCGCATATGCCAGCTAGGTTTAGAGTAAGGAGACAAGATCCAGGGAAAGAGAAGAGCTCCGGAAGGTAGTCTCAGTAAAGACACCGAAGCCAAAAAACGAGACTATTTCTGAGATGATGCCATGGTGGTTATCTGCCAAGGAACAGCACTCCCCATCCCATCCCAAACTTCTCCAAACACAAAGTTGTAGGTAGAACTTCCAACTTCCTATTATACTATGACCAACCCCACCCTCCCTCCTCTGGCCAGGAATAGGCATCTTTCCACCAGAATTTTGGGAAAAAGTCTGATTTCCACATGGCTGGGCCTGAAACAAGGAAAACTCCAGTGTTGTTTCTACTAGGGGGACAACAGAAAACAGAAAGCTGGTCTGCAGTGAGAAAGCTGGTCTGCATAGAGCAGATATGCTGAGATGACAAACTGAGCTGGGAACATTAGCACTCTGGCTCTAGATTACCCGTTGAGTAGGGCTGAAATCTTATCCCCTTGGATTCCAGGAAATATCCCATATACCTCAGTGAAATCCCTTTGTGCCAAATTGTATTTGTGTTGAAAGTTTGTTATCTGTGACTACAAGTCTTGACTACCACAGCTTCAAATAGCCTACTGTCAATACAGCAGTGAACTGGTAGAAGAAGAGGCAGAGCTCTGAAAAGGAGGAGAGAGAGAGAGAAAAGTTGACGCATTAGGCATCAATCTGCTGGGGATGTCTAATGGCACAATTTGATCACAATTATAGAAGCAGAAACCAGACTGCAAAAGTGGCCACGAAATGCAAAAGATTTCTGTTTTAAGGTATATGGCAATAAAAATGGGAGGAAATGCTAACCTGAGAGAGAAATCTGGGTATGTAAGTAATCAGCTTTTGATAATAGAAAAATCTGAGCATGTTTACAGGAAGGAGAAAGTTTCCAAAGGGTATGGGGTGACCAGTAGAGGAAAGACAATAAGGTCCTGAAAGAGGTGAGGGAGGAGACACAGGGTACATAAAGGGGTTTTCCTTGGACATGGGATGAGACACATCCCCCTCCATGAAAGAAGGGGAGAAAAAAAGATATAGTGAAAAGGTAGAATAAATTTGAGGTAAGAAAGACAGTTTGAAGGAACTTGCAATGACATGGGCTTAATCGGCCTAGAAAAGCAGGAAGGAAAACCATACGCAGAAGGCAAGGCATTGGATTCGTGACTTAAAAAGCATGAAAATGATTTGAAACTTATTTTCAGGAATGAAGAAAGGATATCAGCTCCATTTGTCCTCAGAGATAGCACCTCCACTAAAGACCCACAAAAAATATGTCAAGGAATCATTTCCTGGCATTTAACTAATGAGCAGGAATCGTAAGTTGGATAAAACACATGAAGAGCCCACCTTACCTGCTAAACCCCAGCTCTTTCTTATAACACCACAGCACTGAAGGCCGAGCCTTCACAGTTGCTTTGGATAACATGTGATGAAGTATTACCACCTGCCAAACAAAAAAGTCACAGAATTTCAGGCACAAAAGAGACTTTAGAGACTGCCAGGCTTAAGACCTCATTTGACAGATGTGGAAACTAAATTGAGGGCCAGGGAAGGGAAGTGCCCAAGGTCCCAAGGCGACCAATGATCAGGTTTGGACTAGAAGCCACGTCACATACAGTTAACCTTGTGGTCAACCCACCACCCCAGGCTTCAAAAGGTATTAGCTTGTCTGCTAATCAATCTAAATACAGAGAATTCACCACTTCCAGGAAATAAAGGTTCCCACTAGGCATCTTACCAGCCAAAGAGATCTTAATGCCATTATATCCTGAAACACCAGAGTGCTTGAACATGCTGAGTCTTTTGGACAAGAGAAAAAGTAATTCAGGAAACATTTACCAGGTCATACCTGATCTTTTCCTCGATCCCCGACTACAACAAAGAGAGATCTTTGCCGCTCAGCTACCCCATTCTCAATGAGAATCCGGATTCGGTTATCCACCTTTTTCCGATGCATGGTGAAAAATTATTACTAAAAGAGAAAGAAATACAACTGGCCATGTGCACTAGACTGTCTAAGGAACATTAGCTGGCTGCCTCTTGTGGGGCCAGGGACTGTGCTAGGCATATCTATAAATATTGTCTTACTTAACCCTCTAAGAGCTCCATAGGGAAGACATCAGTCTCTAGTTTTAAACTCAGGAAACCTTGGGCTTGGGAGGTGAGAAAACCTCCCCTCAGCCTGGGAAGCCTGTAATTCACCTCTATTAAAGACTTTTTAAAAATCAGAAACTTGTATATTCAAAAAAGTAGGAGAATGACTAAAATACATAGGGTATATCCAAATATCCAAAGCATTTTGTTTGTTTTTGAGACGGAGTCTCACTCTGTTGCCAGGCTGGAGTGCAGTGGCATGATCTTGGCTTCCTGCAACCTCTGCCTCCTGGGTTCAACCAATCCTCCTGCCTCAGCCTCCCGAGTAGCTGGGACTACAGGCGCACGCTGGCCAGGATGGTCTGGATCTCTTGACCTCCCAATCCGCCCACCTCAGCCTCCCAAAGTGCTGGGATTACAGGCGTGAGCCACCACACGCAGCCAAGCATTTTTAATAACTAAGGATATGGACATAGACGTTTATGACAGAATCATGACAGAATAAAGTATCATAACATTTCTAATGCATACACATAACAGAGGGGAAAAAAAAAGACTGGAAGGAAGTATCAAAGTATAAAGTAGCAACTTCTAGATGGTGGGACTTTTATTTTGTTCTTTTGTTTTTGTGGAGTCTTAAAAAATTCACGTGTTACTAATAAAGTCAGGGAAATCAATAACTATCAATGAATAATTCCATGATGTAATGTGTCCAAATGTTTCCTCATTTTAGGGAAAACTATACTGAAGCCTTTGTACAGACAGACCTCAAAAGTTCTCGCGGGGTGTGGTGGTTCACGCCTGTAAGCCCAGCACTTTGGAAGGCCGAGGCGGGTGGATCACCTGAAGTCAGAAATTCGAGACCAACCTGGCCAACATGGCGAAACCCCATCTCTACCAAAAACACAAAACTTAGCCGGGAGTGGTGGTGGAGCTGCAGGAGAGGCTGAGGCAAGAGAATCACTTGAAACCGGGAGGCGGAAGTTGCAGTGAGCCGAGATCGTGTGCCATTGCACTCCAACCTAGGCGACAGAGCGAGACTCCGTCTCAAAAAAAAAAAAAAAAAAAAAAAAGTTCCGTGATTACCTACAGTAAAATATTGCATCATCACAATAAAAACGTCAGAAATATCACTGTAAAAGTAACATGCTACTTCGATGTAAAAGTGACATGCTACTTAGAAATTCCGGTACCTACTGCATTACAAACATCAAGTTCATTTACTGAAGCTTACCACACTTTAACTGTCCCTTCTAACCTTCCAATCCAAACACAGATTTTAGCATATGTCTTATTATAAAACACTAAATCACTGTCAAGGACCCCAATTTATAAGTAAAGGAGAAAATATAAAGAATTCAAATACCCCGAGGCAGAAAAACGAGAGACAGAATTCACACTCAAGTCTTCCCGACTCCAAAACCTGAGCTCTTCCCAGTTCACCAATCTTCTCAACTTGTAAACCCTGTGTTGCCGGCCACATAAAGATCCCGCAAAAATCAATCAACAACTAATTAATGGGGGCTGCCTTTTGCTCTAACTACTGTGGGAGCCCCAGAAGTAGTACCACAAGGCCCTTGACTTCAAGCTTGCATTCTTCGTGAAGAAGGTATTTAAAAGAATGAGATGAGGAACAAGAACCAGGTAAAATTAGATGTAAAAAAAACAGCTATAGTGAGGGGTCAGATGAAGAAAGCGCTGAGATTACTATAGGCTGAAGCTGTCATGGAAGGCCTGGATGGGGAAGGCCTTGAAGATGATTACTTTTCATTCACTCATTCATTTATCTATCTACACATAACATCTAGGTGGCAGGCACCACTTTAGGTGCACTGGCAAACAAAACCAAGTCCTGAATGTGACTGCTGAATAAAAAGTATAAAGGAATGTGCACAGTGAAGGATTTAAGAACGTGGAAGGATCTGGAATCAGATTACCTAAGTTTAAAGCTTAGAGCTGCCGCCGGGCACTGCGGGCAAGCTCCACGGAAAGCAAGTGTTGTCACCCACCCATTCAACCCGACTCCCCAGTTACAGGCACTTAGCGGGTGAGTATCAAGCCACGCAATCCCCGAGGATGCTCGAGAAGCACGCGCCCAGAGCGGCTGCGTATTGGAGAGGTGATTCTGTTATCTAGGAGCGCCCCAAAAGAGGGGTGGAGGACAGTCGGCGTAGGCCAGGTATCCGTCCGGATGCAGAGCCTTCATCCTGAGGCCGGTCCCCTCTCGGGACAGGAAGAACACAGACACCGATCTTGGCATCCATACGCGGCCCTCCCGCGTTGGGTACCTGCGTCCCGAGCCCGGCGGATCCCAGCCAGTGGAGAAGCAGAAGCACGTGGGAGCACGGAACAACTCCGAAAGAGAAGGCACAGCTAACTGCCCCTAGCGGATGCCTGGTGACCGGGTCTCGGACTTGGCCTGGCTCCGCGGCACGCGCCCCTCTCAGGCACTGGTACACTGCACGTGCGCAAGCGCATTACAGTCGCAGCGATGGCGAGCGAGAAGGGACCTTCCTCAAGGCTGTCGCTGAGTAATGACGTAAGCCACCGGAGGCGGAGCTGGAGTTTAGATGTCCACTGCGGTTGCGCATTTTAGTCTCACAGCTCGCGGTAGCTGGGGTATTGGGTGCGGTTTGCCTCTTCACGCTCTTTATATCCGAACTAAGGTACCTTGGCTGAGAAGGGCAAAATAGATGTCCGCACCCCCAGGGCCTGCCCACGTAGGTCCAGGGTTTTCAGCGTCAGCCTGGGTACGCGAGACGCGACGGATCCAGCTATCTGTGCTCAATTTAACCGATCCCCGTAAGTTGAGGAAACTCGGCCGACAGACCTATTTTATTGGTCTCGCTTGTCCCTCCACCCCCACAGTACTGATCTTACAGATGGGAATCCTGTAATCTACCCATGACTGCGGCGTCTGTACTTTGCAGGCTCCCATTAGGCCTGTATATGGTCGTCAAATGAAATTACTCCCCCTGGGCTTCCAGTAAACTCCAAGAACATGACTACAAGGACAACCTATACATAGCGTGTTGCATTCTTGACTTTGGGGCAGATCGCTGAACTTCAAAAAGCATTATCAACTGCTTGATGTTTCCTCCTGGATACCGCAGATGTCTGAATGCAAACCCCTTCCCCAGATAGACACTTCCAATTTTAATGTCATCAGCAGCACCACCCATTTAATCCAACATTCATCATGAAATTTTTTAGTTCATTCAGCAAAATGTCAATATGCCCATGCACTATTCTGCTCACAAGGGATAGTGACCAAAATGTTACTGCCCCTCGTGGTTAATTCTAGGTTGTTTTAAATGCTATTAAGCAAAAGTATCCAGTGAGTGAAGTAACTAAGGGCACTATTTTAGAAGCGAACACGGAAGGCCTCTGACGGGGGGGGCGGGAGGGGTGTGACACTGGATGAAACAAGGACCTAAAATTTATAAAGAATAAGCCCTGACAGTATCTGAGTGAAATGCTCCCCCATGCCAAAGATGTACATACAAAAGCTCCAAGATGGGGAAGAAGTCCTGGCAAAGCAGTCTGTGGCCAAAGCAGTGGGCAAGTGAAGGACCAGATTTAGAATTTAGTTCTAGTCATCATGAGAAACCACTGGAGTTTGTGGGGGACAGGGAAATGAGAAAATGTGCTTTGCCCTCTTAAAAGGCTCTTAGCCAAAAAACTAAACCACAGGAAGGCAACGGTAGAAAACGGGAGAACAATTATAAGCTATTGTAGTCACCTGTGCTAGGATGGTAGTCGTGGCAGTGGTTAAAAGTATTAGATAACTGGATATTCAAGTTAAACTACGTGAACTCACTTAAGGATTAGATACAGGGTATAAAAGTAAATTGAAGATGGCACCCAAAACATTTGCTCTGAGCAACTGGTGTTGGGTAATCAAGGAGTTGACTTGGAATACTGAGAGTCTAACATCCAAGGCCTGGAGAAATCAGCAAAGGATACCGAGTCGTGACCAGTGAGATAGGGTATCTACAGAATCCATTCACCACCACCACCCCATCTCCACCTTAAGTTGGAATCCATTATTTCTCACATGGACCACTCCAACAAGCCTCCGTACCATCTCTTGGTCCGTATGTTGTTCTCAGCATTGCATTGAATGTTTTTTAAATGGCAACTTTATTAAGTGGGCCACCATCCCCACCCCAAACAACAGTTTTTTTTTTTTTTGAGACGAAGTCTCGCTCTGTCACCCAGGCTGGAGTGCAGTGGCGCCATCTCTGCTCACTGCAACCTACCAGGTTCAAGCGATTCTTCTGCCTCAGCCTCCCGAATTGCTGGGACTACAGGCGCATGCCACCACGCCCGGCTAGTTTCAGTATTTTTAGTAGAGACGGGATTTCACCATATTGGCCAGGCTGGTCTCAAACTCCTGACCTCACGATCCCCCTGCCTCAGCCTCCCGAAGTGCTGGGATTTCAGGCAAGAGCCACCACACCCGGCCCAACACACAGCTTCAAAACCTTCAATAGTTTGCAACTGTTTTTAAGAGACAAAACATTTTGCAACTGTTCTTAGAGAGACAAAACATGAAATGCAATTATTACGCTGTCCACAGTAGTCTTTACCTGTTTCTCTAACCTGTAACTCTGCTAGTCCTTTCTCTTTCCACTTGATCCTGGTACTTTCAGTCACTGGTGATCAGACGTTTAGTTATGTTCTTCTCCCCCTTTCTTTTGACTAGTCTACTACCCCTTACCCTTCAAATGTACTCAATTACCCCTTTCAGTTGTCTCCCCTGATCATTTTAACTAGGATATACACTCTCTGTCATGGCTTTAGTATCTACCACATTGCTCCAACATGGCATTTGCTACACTTTGGTGTCATATCAGTGTCTTTGATTAGACAGTTCAATGAAAGCAGAAACCACAGTGATTTTTGTTACCACTAAATGCCTAGTGCTTGGCATGATGCTGGGCAAAGGATACCCTAATTTGCTGAATAAAGCCTTAATTCAGTGGCTTAATACAGTGTGTCTGCCTATTAAACACAGTACTTAAAGTTAGTATTTCCAAATGAGCAATACACGAATGCCTTTGCTAGATGATCAGCAACAAACTGCTGATCTTCCACTGCCTATACTCAAAACAGCCGTACTGCTCACGTAACTGGATTAGCTTCAGAACAGCTTGTTAAAGTAGGATATTAGTAGTAGAGGCTGAGAAGTTTATTAGAAGATGAGGCTATCAGATTTCTTATATAAACCTTTTCCTCTCCTCATACCAGTAGCAATTCTTCACTTATAGCTTTTACTGGATGGTTTTTAACAACTTAAGCAGACTTCGTTCAAGGCCAGTGAGAAAACCAGGCTTTCATAGAATTTAATCTAATGTAATTTTAAACATTCACTAGTCTTTTCCAGAACTTTTGTAGAATTCAAAATGGAAAAAGGTATGAGCCTTAACAATTTACTTTCATTTTCCTGAGGGGTTTTCCTCCCCACTAACTCCATAAAAAGGACAAGATGAAGGGCAATACTGATTCTGTGAAATCTAACTTACAATCAATTAAAACTTAGAATGCTTAACAAGAACTCAAGTGGAATGCAGATTCCGAGCTTAAAGATGAAATGAAGGGTTTGAATTCGGCACTTACCTGCATTCCATTTCCTCTAGTTATATTACTGAAAATATAATGAACAAATGTCCTAAAACACTTAGGAAGCTGACTGCTCAACTAGCTGTTAACTGATCACCTCAGTTAATCAACCTTCTGAGAATAAGCACACATTCTATGTCTCCTTTAAGTGGAAAAGTTTCCCACATAAGAGTTGCATATAAAAGGAGACAAAAGAACTGTAGAAGCTAACTGATTAGAAATATTTAAAGGATATTTAATATCAAGGTACAATGATTGAAAAAAACTTTTCTGTATTTTTTAGGAATTATTAGGATCTGGAAATAAAACTGCCCTAATCAAGGTAATCAATGACATTCTACCTTTTTAAGTTTTAAAAAAGAAGTTTCATATCCACATGAGATGATTTATATTGTGCATATACAAAAGTATTTTATATGTTAGCTTGCTACACCAAGAGGCTACAGTGACACGTGTGACAATCGTTTCCTTGAAACTCTGCTAAAATATGCATTTGACCAAACAAAAGGCCTTCTGCAGCTAGGACAAGCAATCACATATTATACAGAATACTTAGAACCAAGATTCAGATCTTAATGAGACTTATTGAAAGGTTCTCTACCCCATAATGAGGCACCCCTTTAAAAATATGGTCTGAGTAGACATAAAAGATACACATTTAAACTGTGATGGTAAAATAACCAAAAAAAGAAAAATTATAGTTTAAAAAAAGAAACAATTCTTTGAAAAAACATACATAGAATAGTCAAACTATGAACACCTTTACACATTCACATCTGCACTAATGCATAGAAGTTCAAAACCTAGAAGGCATTTCTTCCCCATCCCTTCTCTGAAACTGATTCATAGAGGTCACTGTGTGAAGAACTTACTTCAATCCTGATTGTAAATATCATGAAATTATTTTCTACATAGATAGCAAATTTAGTTTTATATATAGGATTGCAAGCATACATCATCTAGGGATTACCCAGTAAACCACAAATATTTTATCCATTCCCCTAAGATACAGATAACATATGGTTGTGGTACATCCCAGGCAGATGTCATTTAAAGCACGCAAGGGGAGGTGCTAGCAAAAAAATACTCATTTGCCAAAGTAACAGGTTAACCCTTCCAATATGATGTACCACAACCACACATGAGAAAAGTCAAGAACTTATTTTATTTTATTTTAAAATAAACATTGAAGATCCCCCATTTCCCACCACCCTACAAAACTTTTGAATGTGGAATGTTCAACAGCCTATCCATTTTGGTAGGTTACAAAACCAGCAAAAACTCCAGTTGTCTAATGATGAATGTTTGAGAATAGTTTTGTTTTTAAATAGCTGAGCACCTACTGGAAAAATTCCTGGGCTAAATGCTGAAAATAAAATTTAATTTCTGCACAGAAAACACCATTAACTTAGTAGCCTTTGCTTAAAGGTGGGCTTAATTCTCCATGAAGTCAGAATGAGATAATAAGCAGCATTAAGTTCATAGGCACACAGAACTAGTGCTCAAACTGCTAGCACAAATTCCAACAGAGTACATAAGGCTAAGTCACTACTCAAGTGTCCATTTCCATCAAATTTAGAGACTCTCCCTATGCATCTAAGGGAAGGAATTATCACTTTGAATATAAATGCCTCCAGGAGAAAAGGAGAATTCAGGTAAGGTTAAATTAGACAAAAGATAGTAAGTGCAAGTACTAGAGAAATGTTGCTGGAGATAACCATAAAATTTGTGACACTAATGTGGTATGGGGGTGAATCACATAAGCTGCTAGCTGTTGAACACCAGTGTTTCAAGATACAACTTTTATAAACATGTTTTATTTGTTTTGCTTATACCATCAGAACTGAAACTACCGTCTGTGATTTCCCTGAAACAGGGAAATC